CCCGCCCCGCTTCCCGCCTGGGCCTAGACCCGGTCCCACGCCCTGTTCAGCAGCTCCGCCGCGCACCTGCGACTTTCCGCAGCTCCGCGAGCCACCCGGTGCCCGCGCCCAACTAAGCAGCCCGGTACCTGGTCACTCGGGTGAGGGCCCGAATTGCGGCTCCAGCTCTTTGCCTGCCCTTGGGCGTCACATTCGCTTCTCGGAAGTCATGGTTTTCCCTTTTGTGGCTAATGATGGGGTTGCTCCTATGGAGTGGCTGTAAACCTCTCTGTAAGCCGAGAAGATTTTTACAGGCGTGCATTCCAGTGGACTTGCTCCCAGTCGCGCGGTCTTCGAAAGTGCTCCTGTCCTCTCCTTCCTTTTACGATTTTAAAGTTTGTCTTGTTATTTGCCCAAACGCACATGTATTTATCTATTTTCCAATCGTTAACCAGATATTGGGTCAGTATATACTTTCTCCTAAAAGCTTCTCAGGTAATGATGCTGATGGGTGGGGGGTGCGAGACAGAGTCTTGCCATATAGTTCAGGCCTCGGACTCACTGTGTAGCCCAGGCTGGCCACGAACTTGCAGGGATCCTCCTGCCTCAACGTCCTGAGGGATGGGATTACAGGGGTGCACCACCACACCCAGCTGATTCTGATCTTCTTGATGTTGTTTTGCAACATTTATCTGAGGTCACCTTTTTTAAAAATCTCATTAAATGCTTTCTAGGGAGTCAGAATTCTACAGTAAAAGGCTCTTGGGATAGTTGAAAAAATGGACTGGAACAGAAGCATTAACTGGGCTTCATTTCTTGAACATTCTTGAAAAATAAGAGTTAATTATGGAGTTCTTTAGATTGAGTACTTTGTAGAGTTAGACTGGTAGGTTCACACCGACGTCCGTGTGAAAAGGTCATTTCCTACAGGATTCATTAACAGCAGCTGTACTCTTCTCTTACCAATAGCTCACAGCCTGCCTTGGTTGATAAATAAATGAATGGTGACTTTCTAGCCCTGCTAGTCAACGTAGTGTAAAAGCAGAAGTCCTCTTCAAGAATGGGAAAGTTAGAATGATCCGAGTGGCTCTCAGTGAGACAGAAGGTACAGTCTTTTCTTTCATCACACCAAGGGTCAAACTCAAGGCAGGAGATGTGCAAGCCAAGTGAGGGCTGTGTGACTGAGCTACACTCTTGGCCCTTTTTAAAAATCCAGGGAGAGTGTGACCATCTCGTCCCATGATACTTCAGTTAACCCAGAAGAGCTGAGGTCAGCTGTGAGTGTTCCGGAGCCAGAGTGCACAGCGACGTTCCCACTCCACACATGACCACCTCTGACAACTTTTGCAAGTTGGGGTGGGGGTTCCCAGAACACCAGGAGGACTAAAAGCACCTCGCTGCCAGTTATACTTCCTTTCACACAAAGGCTTCAGACTAAAGTCACCCAATGGCAGCAGCACATAGGAGAGAGCTGGAGCACCACATGCCGGACTTCTGCTGCCCTCAGCCTGTGAAGGAAGACCTTGCTGGCGTGCATGTGCGACAGCATGTGAGTGGTTGGATTGCCACCTGCTTGGTCTCATTTCCAGGTAGCCTGAGACTGTGTGGCCCAGGGCCCCCACCCTAAAGTACATTGTTAGGCTTTTTCAGGTGGCCAGAGCCCACCTTAGTCATATTGTTAGCCAAGGACACACGCCCATCCCTCTTTCAGCAAAGTTAAAATTTTTGTTATGCAGCGTTCTTCTTTTCCTGGGCTCATCCTGCTTGAAAATACACTTCTTTGCATTGCTGTTGATTAATAACTGTCCCTTTCCAGGTTGTGGAGGAGACAGAGGCAGCTGGGAAAACTCCCAGGCTTGAATTTAAGATGTTTCCAAAGCTGGGCAGAGTGGCACCTGCCTGTAGACCCAGCTCCTTGGAAGGCTGAGGCAGGAGCATTGCTTGACCCCAGAACTGGGAGGCTCACTTGGACAACATTATGAGACCCCATTGCTTAAAAAAGTTAAAATGAATGCGAATCCATCAATCTCTTTCTTCCCCGAGCAGCTGAGGAAGAGATGGCCCTTCCGTCCTGAGGTGAATGCTGGTGTCACTTTGGGATGCCTATTCTAGAGCGTGAATTGCTGAAATTGGCATTTGCCTCTTTGATTGTTTTCTGTGCTGGCTCCTTTGCCTCTATCTGCAGACATGTTCTTATCTTACTGATCTTAGTCTGCTGCAGTAGAATCATAATATTCCTCTAACAAAATCCAGGCTCCGTGTGGGCCCAACATAATGCTTTATATTAGGGTAGCACCTGGTGGTTTTGAAAACACTTACATTCTCCTACAGCCTCTTGCTGCTGTCGGGCACTTGGAAATTGATAGGTGGATCTGGCTAAGCAGAGGGAGAGTGAATGTGGGTTGTAACTGGAGAGAACAGCAGGAGCAGAAGCACAGCGGAAGACGTTGTGGCAGAGGGAACTGAAATGGACACTGTGCAGGGGAGAAGGGTAAGGATTGATTCTAGATGTGTGTGGAGAGCTCGGTTCCACAGAGCACCTCTAGAAGGCTGTGCAGGGCCGACGGGAGCCTGGGTTGTGGTCCTGAGTGGCAGTGCCTGCTGCCCTGGGGCCTAGGACTGAGGTACTGGGACTTCTGAGGGTGCGAGCGGGGTGAGGGCTGTGGACGCAGGAGCTGTGGGAGGTAATGGGGGGGACCAGAAGGAAGCGACCTGGGCCCCACCGGAGTGAAGGAGCTCAGCCTCGAGGTTAAAGGTAAGTCCTGGACGCGGAGAGCTGAGAAGCAGGCCAGCTCCGGCAGGCTGGCGGTCTGGTTCCTGGGGACAGTGGGCAGCCGTCGGCTGGAGAAGTGCTAGTCTCTGGAGACGAGCTTTTGCAGCACCGCAGAAATGCTTTGAGGTCTTCCAGCTCTGCACCCACGGCCCCTTCGGGTGCTCAGTTCAACTGCCCTTCTGCGAGCCTGGCCTGGGCATGCCGTGCCTGTCAGGGGGAGGGAGTCGTGGCTTCGGAGGCTGGCCTGCCCTGGGACCCTGTGCCCGTCTTGCCCACGAGCTGTGACCACGCCCAGTCCCAGGTGGCGGTGGTCAGCTGTCCCCGGGTGCACAGCAGGTGTGCCCCGAGTGGCCTCCCCTTCGCCTGCTGCTGTCCGGCCCCGTGTCTGGCTCGGCACTGAGTGCTAAGCATGTTCTTCGCACATGAGATTTCTTATGCTTGGACAGTGCTCCCGATGTCCTCGGTCACCTCATGGCATGGGAAGCCCTTTTCAGACGTGGGCAGAGGCTGGGAATGCTTCTCTGGCTCGGGCTCTGCTCCTCCCTGGGACACAACCACACAGGGGCGTGGAAGTCATGTCATTAGGTGTTTACTTGTCGATGTTGGGTTTCTAGAAGGAGAGGTTCCGCTGACCCTCTGTGACTGCGTGTTAGGCTGTGGCTGTAGGACGGGGATGGCGGAGAGACCCTCGCCCTGGCCCTTCACCCGCCTTCTCTGCGACTCCCCTTCTCCGAGGCTCCCCGCCCTTCAGCACCCACTTCCCACACGGATCCCACACCCGCTCCCCTTCCCCACGCTCTCTCCTGTCCTGCATCTCTGCTTTTTCTCGTGTCCTCTCTGCTTCTGCCACTCATTTGCTCAACACACATTCTTGAGACCTGCGTGTGGTGAAGGGCATTCCGTGGGGGCCACTGGCCGGGGGTGAGGCCCACAGGCTGGGAGGCTGAGCGGCCCGGTCCCCGGGAATGGAGGGGGTTTGGCAAGGCGTGACTGCGGGGCCTCCATGGGTGGGGTGGAGGGTGAGGAAGATGTCAGTGGTGCCGTACTGTGTGGTTTCCTCGTGGAGATGGGGAGGAGGATTCCCAGCAGTGAGGTATTTTGCGTGGCCCCACAGTGGAGTTGTTGAGTAGCCGGTGGCCAGACCCAACGAGTGTCATTGAGATACGGATTTTGTGTTGTGGCTGCGTGGGACCGAGGTCCTCGGGGCATCCTTTCTGGAGAGCACGGGCAGAACCCGGGTTCGGGGGGCAGTGGTGTGGCCGGGGAGACCCAGCCCAGGTTGGCTTCCCCTCCTTCTCTCCTTGCTCGCTCGGGTCTCTGATGTGCGGTGTCCCAGTGCAGCTCTGGGTGCCTCAGTAACCAGTAAAGGCCTCTCCAGAGGGGTTCGGCTGGGTGTCCACACTGGGTCGTGTGTGGTGTGGTACCAACCCACCTCCACTGGGGTCACATTCTGGGCCGGGTGTGTTTTCCTAAAGGTGGGTGGTAGGGGCATCGCTGCTGCTGGAGTTCAGAAGAACACACTGAGTGTCCTGACTGCGTGTTGCCCAGAAAGTCTAGGAGGTGATTGCAGCAGGCACGCGGGGGTCACAGGTGCTGAAGCGAGGGCTCTGGCTTCTGCAGTCGCCCGGCCTGTGTGTGCGTTGTCACCAGGGAACGTCCTGCAGGTGCCCTCGACTACACCTCTAAGAGGGGCAGCCCCTTGCCAGCCCCATGGAGGGTTGTTGTTCTCCAGACCTTTGCCTTCTCTGAATTCTCCTGCCCCCCAGTGCAGTCCCAGTCTCAGTCCTGCTTGTTGACTCTGTCCCGTGGTCTTGTCGGGACTTCTGGGCCTTGCTTTCTGTCTCCTGCTTCCCAAGCACCCACGCTTCTCACTGGACTCGGTGGGTTCTGCCTTTGACACCTGCTTTTCGATCATGTCACTGAGATGGAACCCAGGGCCTTCGCAATAAGCTACAGCCCCCGCCCATTCTTGTATTTTTCAGTTTTGAGACAAGGTCATGCTATCCAGGTTGAAGGCCAGGTGTGGTGGTGCAGGCCTGTCATCCCAGCGCCTGGGAGGCTGAGGCAGGAGGATCACCGTGACTTCAAGGCCAGCCTGGGCTGCAATATGTAGAGAACCTGTCTCAAAGACAACAATCAAAAGTTTCACAGGCCGGGCCCAAACTTGCTGCCCTTCTGCCCCACCATGAGGCTGACCGTTCTTGTCACTGTGTGAGCTGTTGGCGTTCAGCACTGTCTGGGCAGGCCGGTGCTTCTCACCTTCCTGGCTGTGCCCTCTCCACTGTCCAGTGTCAGCAGCTGTCCCTGAGCCTACGCTCTGACACCCCAGGGCTGCCACTGCTTCTTAGCGAGCACGTCACTCCTGCACCCCTCTTTGCTGGGACAGCTGTCCCTGCCTGCACATCCTCCCCAATGGAAACGGTCCGCACTCTTCATCTCCTCTGTTGGCCCTTGGCCTGCCTTCTCTGCCCCAGGGTCCCATTCCAGGCCTCACGTGATACTGTCATAGGTCTCCTGAGGCTCCTTGCAGCTGTCACGCAGCCTCAGCTTTCCTTGTTCCTGGTGACTGATGGTTTGGGGAGTACTGGTCAGATGCTCTGTACGATGCCCCTCTCCTGGGACTCGTTCGGTGGTTTTCCTGGGGACAGGACGGGCAGCTCTGGAACTGGTGTTCTCTGAAATCAGGCAGCATTGTAAGCAAAGAGAACATGATGGCAGCCATGTTTCTGGCTGTTGGAGTGGACGGCTGGACAGACAGGAAGCTGTCATGACCCACATGGTCATGGGTCATGGGGTTTTACTTGCTCCATCACCTAGGAGGGCCTGGAACATCCCCTTAGCTAGCACCCCTGGTGCCCAGTCCTGGGTTTTGATACCATTCTGTAGTAAATAAAGGGAAGCAGGATCCTTAGCGAAGTGGCCGGTTCCAGGGCAGAGGCAGGAAATACACAAGAAACATCTGTGTGACCAGGAAGTGAAGACGCATCCACAATACACACTTGTGCACACATAGCGAGGGGACCTGGGCAGCAGGCAAGAGGGATGCGGAAACCAGGTGAGAGTGCTCCTAGCCAAAGCTAGAACATTCTGAACAATGCTGCAAGGTAGTGTTGTGCCACAGCTCGAGGTGTAAAATAAACGTCCTTACTGATTGAAATTACAGGTTGAGTAAATAAATACGAGAGATCACTCTCCACTGTGTGCAAGAGCCCCCGGGGAATTCCTGTAACCCCCCCCCAGGAGCCTCTTGTCACAGTCTGCATTCCTCCTTGACTCCGCTGGCATCCTGAAGGATTTTTTTTAAAGAATTGATGTATATTAATGCTCGCTGTGCTGTAAAGTTGAGGTTTTGCAAGTTCTCAAAGTTCTGTGTCTGTCATGCATGTCAGTCACATGTCATAATGTCGTGTCTCATGCGTGAGCACCGACACAGTGCCCTCCAGAACAGCATCTGCCCTGCTGCCCAGCGCCCACGGTTGTGCTATCACTGTGCGCACAGTGTCACAGCACTGGGACCCCCCCAGCTCCCCTCAGTGGCGTGTGGACAGCACCAGCCACTGTCGACCCCTCCGAGGACGTCCTGGCAGCCTGCAGTCTTCCAGGCTGTGGGAAGCTGGGAGGCGGGTTCCCACGGGGGTCTCTGGCACACCTGTGCCTGCACCCCACCCCAAGTCTGCTCTGCCAGGCTGGGCCCAGCGGTTCTCTTCCTCTTTCCTTTTCTCTGCGAAGACTTCATTCTTTAAAGACAGAACCTGCAGTGTCTCTGCTGTGGGGAGAACAAGGACTAAGTAAGTGGGTGTCGGGCCCACAGGCTCATGGGCTCTGCCTGGGCCAGTGGTCTCTTTTTAAAACTTCCGTCCAGGGCTGGGGATTTAGCTCAGTGGTTCTGCCGCCTGCCTCGCAAGCTCAAGGTCCCAACTTTGATCCCCGGTACGACCTGTGGCCCGCTTGCTTCACCATGTCGTAGGCAGTGCACTTTGTAATGCTGGCTGGGTCTGGAAGAGCTTAAGGAACTTGCTTGGAGTTGTGAGTAGAAGTTAGTCTAAGGCAGGGCTTCCTTCCTTCCTGAGTGACAGAGGACAGAAGCAGCCAGGAGAGAGCCTCTGCCTGCGGGGCCATCATGAAAAGCATGACAAAAAGTAGGTAGCAGCTTAACTATGCCAAGAGCACAGAGCTGAGTAGCCGCTTCCCAGCCCAGCGTGACCTTGGGCCTCCCGCTCTGATGTCTGTGGTGATACGTTTGCCCGGTGTTGGGTGTCGCTCCGGTGGACTCACACTGGGCCTGGCCTTCCTTGTTCCCTTCTTGGACTGGGCTTAGTGTTTTGGGGTTTAACCCATGTTGTGTTGGCCTTGATCATTTCTTTCATTTTCTTCGCAAAAGATAACCATTGTCTGACTCTGATCGGCCTGGGTTGGTTGGTTTGTCTGCTGGGTGGCTGTGTGGGGCGTTTCCTCCGGGGAGACTGCGGTAGTGCTGCTGGGAGCAGATGTGCACGTGCTGTCTCTTCTGCTCGTCTTCTTGAGCAAACCCCTAGTCACGGGGTGGGTGTGTGTTTACCACCGAGGAAGTGTCAGACTGCTCTCCCAAGCGATTGTTCTGTTGGTTGCTTTAATTTCTAGGAATAATCGGGGTTTGGTTTCATAGAGATCCTGCTGAAGACCTGCTGTCTGCAGTGAGCAGTCCTGTATCTCACTTCCGGCCTTAGATTTCAGGACATTGCCAAGACACTCCCTGGGAAACACCTCTGAATATCAGTAAGCGTCTGAAGGGTTTGGTTAGTGTGTAAGTATTGGAGTAAAGTTAACAATATGCAAGGTCTTTTTTTTTTTTTTTTTTTTTT